TCCTAGGTGTGCCTGTGCTATTTTCACCCTGCCCAGAAGCCTATGGCAAAAAGCCTTAAATTACAAAATTCACTGAACTAAGTGTAGAAGACTGATTGAAGAGGCCAATTTATTCCTAATTTGAGTGTGAAGATTAGGAGTTACTCAAAAGAAATTATTTCATTCTCTCATAGGAAGAGGAGGCTTAGGGAGAAAGGGTGGAAAGTATTTTTCAAGCAAATAGCCCTCAAAATAGGCAATAGTTATCTAAATTAGTCAGAAGAGACAAAGAAGGTTACATTGCACTAATAAAAGGGCCAATATCATCAAGAGGAAATAACAATTGTTAATTTATATGTGCCCACATGTCAGCATACCCAACTTCATTAAACAAACACTACAGGACTTAAAAGCACAAAGAGACCCCAACACAATGATAGTGGGAGACTTTAACAACCCAGTGACTAATAGATAAATCATCCAGGCAAAAAAATCAACAAAGAAACTTCATAATTAAATGACACCTTAGACCAAATGGACTTAACAGACATGTACAGAGTATTTCATCCAGCAGCAGCACAATACACATTCTTCTCAGCAGCCCATGGAAATCTCTCCAAAATAAATCATATTTTAGTACACAAAGCAAGTCTTAACAACCTGCACACTGCCTGACCTCAATGGAATAAAACTAGACCTCACTAACAAAAGAAACAGCAGAAAATACTCAAACGCCTAGAGACTAAACATGTTGCTCCATGATCAGTGGGTCATTGAAGAAATAAGGGAGGAAATCAAGAGTTCCCGGGATCTAATGAAAATGAAAATACAACCTACCAGAACCTATAGGGTACAGCGAAGGCAGTGCTGAGGAGAAAGTTTATAGTTATGAATGTCGACATTAAAAACACACAGAGATCTCACATAAATGACCTAATGCTGCAACTCAAATTCCTGGAAAAACAAGAACAGGCTAAACCCAAAACAAGAAGAAGGAAAGTGATAATAAAAATGAGGGTTAAAATCAATGAAATGGAGACCAAAAAACCATACAAAGAATGAACAGAACAAAAAGTTAATTCTTTGAAAAGATAAGACTGATAAACCATTAGCAAACCTGATGAAAATGAGGAGGGGAAAGACACAAATTAATAAAATTAGAAATGGAAAAGGGATATCACCAATGAAATCCAGAGGATCATTAGAGAATACTTCAAACACCTATACTTGAAAATGGGAAAGTCTAGAACAAAGGTATAACTTTCTAGACACATATGGTCAACCAAAATCGAACCAAGAGGATACAAATCACCTAAAGTAATGAAACAGAAGCAGCAATAAAGTCTCCCAGGACCTGATTCACTGCCGAATTTTACCAACCCTTTAAAGAAGAACTAATACCAACACCCCTCACACTTACCATGAAATGGAAAGGGAAGGAATACGACCATGCTCATTCTATGAAGCCAGAATTACACTCATCACAAAATTGGACAAAGACACAAACACACACACTCATACATACACACACACACACACACATACACAAAGAATTATAGGCCAATCTCCTATAATGAACTTAGATGTAAAAATTCTCTATAAAACATTGGCAAACCAAATTCAACAAAATATCAAAACGATCATACACCATAGTCAAGTCTGTTTCATTCCAAGATTCAACATAAGTAGATTAATAAATGTAATACAGCATATAAACACAAGCAAGGACAAAAACCTATGATCATCTCAACAGCTGTAGAAAAAGCTTTTGACAAAATACAACATCCTTTTCTTGATAAAAACTCTAACAAAACTAGGAAAAGAATGTACTTCAATCTAATAAAGACTGTATATGACAAACCTAAAGCCAACATCATACTAAATGAGGAAAAATTGAAACTATTTCATCTGAAGTCAGAAACAAACAACAGTGTCCACACTCTCTCACTCCACTCTTATTCAACATATTCTTGGAATTCCTAGCGAGAGCAATAAGACAGGAAGAAGAAATAAAAGGAATTCAATAGGAAAGGAAGAAGTCAAATTATATCTATTTGCAGATGACATGATCTTATACCTAACAGACCCAGAAACTCCACTAAAAAACTCCTAGATATTATAAACACCTTTGGCAAAGGTCAATATACAAAAATCAGCAGCTTTTCTATATAACAAGAATGAACAGATTGAGAAAGAATTTAGGAAAACAATTACACTTATAATAGCCTCAAAAAAATACCTAGGAATAAACAGAAGTGAAAAACTGCTGCAATGAAAACTATAAACCACTGAAGAAAGAAACTGAGGAAGATATCAGAAGATGGAAAGATCTCCCATGCTCATGGATTGGCATAATTAATATTGTAAAAATGGCTATACTACCAAAAGCAATCTATATGTTCAATGCAATTACCATCAAAATTGCAATGGTATTCCTCATTGAGATCGAAAAATCAACCCTAAAGTTCATATGGAAGCACAAAAGACCAAAGTAGCCAAGGCAATACTGAGCAAAAAAGCAATCAATGCTGGAGATATGACAATACTGGACTTCAAACTATACTACCAAGACATAGCAATAAAAACAGCATGGTACTGGCAAAAAAAAAACAAAAAACCAGACACAAAGACCAATGGAACAGAATAGAAGAGCCAAACATAAATCCACACATTTACAGCCACTTGATTTTTGACAAAGACATCCAAAACATGCAATGGAGAAAAGATACCTCTTTAAAAAAACATTGCTGGGAAAACTGAATACCTGTATACAGAAAACTGAAACTAGATCCATGTTTTTACCATGTACAAATATCAATTCAAAGTAGATCACAGACGTTAATATAAGGTCTGAAATTTTTAAACTAGTGCAGGAAAGACTAGGGAATACACTGGAACATATAGACATACCCAACAACTTCCTAAATAGAGCTCCAATGGCTCGGCAACTAAGAGAAAGGATGGACAAATGGGACTACATGAAACTAAAAAGCTTCTGCACAGCAAAGGAAACAGTCACCAGACTGAAGCAGCCCACAAAATGGGAGAAAATCTTTTCCAGCTATACACCTGACCTGGGATTAATAACCAGAATATAAAGAGAGCTCAAAAAACTAAACTCCCAAAGAATCAATGACCCGATGAAGAAATGGGCAACTGAACTGAACAGAACTTTCTCAAAAGTACAAATGGCCAAAACACACATGAAGAAATGTTCAGCATCCCTGGCCACAAAGGAAATGCAAATCAAAACCACGTTAAGATAATTGATTCCACCTCACTCCTGTTAGAATGGCTATCAAGAACACAACAACAAATGTAGGCAAGAACGTGGGGAAAAAGGAACCCACATACACTGTTGCTGATAATATACATTAGTACAACCACTATGAAAAACAGTATGGAGGCTCCACAAAAAACTAAAACAGAACTACCATATAATCCATCTATAGTACTCAGGGGCATATACCTGAGGAATGTAAGTCAGGTTACAATAAAGACAGACACCTGCACATACATGTTTATTATAGCATTATTCACAATCTCCAAGCTATGAAAACAGCTCAGATACCCTACAGCTGATGCATAGTTTAAGCAAATGTGGTATTTATAGAGGATAGAATTTTTCTCAGCCAAAAAGAAGAATGAAATTTTGTCATTTGCAGGGACATGGATGGACCTGGAGAACATCATCTTAAGAGAAGTTAGCACATTCAGAAAGAAAAAATTCACGTTTTCACTCATATGTGGAAGATTGATCCAATACAAATATACGCATCATCAAATATACATAAAAATATATACAGAACATGTTTCCAAAAGTGAGACTGGTAGAGGAGACAGAGGGAGGAGGAAAAGTGACAGAGTAAATAATAATGAAATACATCATATCTGTGTAGGAACAAGACACAATAAAACACACTGAAAACTGTTAAATAATACAGGGGAGGGGGGAAAGGGGGAGGAAGAACAGTGGAGGGAGTTAGAATGATTTAAGCACAATATATTTACAGGTAAATTACCAAGGCAAAATCCCTACTGAACAACAAACAGACTCTTAAACAATGAAGGACAGGAACATAAAACAGGTCATGTTAAGGGGAGGGTATTAATGGGAGGGGGAGGGTAAATGGAGAGGATAAAGGAGGGGAATATGGTTGACATACTTTCTATACTTGTATGACTATGGAACACTGTAACCTGTTGAGCTTATTTTAAGAATGGGAATGTGGTAGGAGGGAGAATAATGGAGGAGATGAACCAAACTGGGATATAATATATTGAATATATGGAAATGTGACAACAAAACCCCACATTAAAAAATAAGTATTCTTGTGACTACAATTCCATGCCTAAAATTCTAAAATGGATCTTCTGAAAGAAGGTAGGAAGAAAAGAGATGACCTTGAACACCACTCAGAGAAGAGAGCCCCAGCTCCAACTCAGGTAAGGGAAAGAAATTACACTTCTTTTTATATTTTCTGGGTTTTTAATCATTTGAATGCATTATTTAATAAAAAAAATTAAATTCTAAACTAGGCATGGTAGCTCACAGCTGTAATCCCAGCATTTGGGAGGCTTAGGAAGGAGAATTTTGAGTTTGAATCCAGCTTGGACTATATAGCAAGACCCTATCTCAACAAAAATACAAATTATAAAAAACTAGTTTAAAAAAATCAACCCATGCACACTAACTGAGTGCTATAGTTAATCTGCCTACTTAACAATAGAATAAACAACTAACAAATACCAGAGTAAATAAAGTTCTCTTGTTTCTACAATCCTTACCCCTCACACTATGAATTTTCTTCACAAAATATATCAAATTTTTAAGGTAAAGTCACTATATAATTTTTAAGAGCTAAAGTAAAGTTTTTAAACAGCTAGACCAGGAAGTCTGTGAAAATAGGAAAAATATAGTGACTTATTTAAATCTATTTGCTAAAACACAAGTTTAAAAAAAAATACTTGTGCATTACACATCAATTAATACTGGTTTAGCACCAGAACCACTTACTTACCTTTAGGAACAATTGGTTTAACTGCCATCCTGCCAACCAGGCATTCTTTCAGCATAGATTCATAATTGACCCAACGATGAACCTGAGATGGGAGAAAAATGCAGACAAGCAACATGACTCTAACTCCACAAGATGCTCTTATTTTATTATGAGTAAAATTAAGCCTTCTTAAATACCTCTGAAGTAGATTCAATTAACCAACAAGAATGATAGAAAACAGTGGCACAGAGATTGTTTAGAACAATGTTCTAAATAGTGTTCTAAAGAGTAATCTATAGACTATGGAGATCTGACACCTTTTCCATCAGGTATCCATGAGGTCCCAATTAGTTTAATGAGAATACGAAGGTGTCATTTGCCTTTTCACCATTTGACATTTGCAATGATGCTAAAAGCAATGATGGATAAAACTGCTGGTACCTTAGCAGTAATCAAGGCAATAGCTCCAAACTGTACTAGCAATCATTACGTTCTTACCATCACAAGCTTAGGAGAGTTGTATATAAGAATATCCTTCACAAAGTAGAAAAAAATATTAATTTACTTAAATTTGTATCTTTTAGAATGGTTATTTTGTATATTCTTGTGACAAAACACAAAGTTCTCAAAAAAAAAAAAACACTTCTATAGTATATGATGGTTGCCCTGGGGAAAAACATATCAGCAATTATTTTATTTGAAAACTAAATGGGGCTTTTCTCATGAGAAGTCATTTAAAAGGAATAATGATAAACTGGTTATTCAGATGTCAGTATTCAACAGACATATTCTTAAAAATGAACAAAGACTGCTACTCTCAAAGAAAACCACTGAAAGTATCTGTTGCCAAATACCACTGGTGGGAATTAAATGTAAACCTTTCTGGGGGGCACATTCTCAATAACCACTAAAAGCCTTAAAAGATACACCTATTTCACTTAAAAGTAGCAATATATGTGAGAAGTACAAATATACTCTCATAGCAATATTTAAATGAGCAAAATACTAAAAAATCTAAATGTTCAGTAGTTAAAAGATCAGTAAAGGAAAATTATAGTATATTATTCAATGAAATACTATGTAAACATTAAAATAACCAGGTTAGATAGTATTGACATGAGAACCTTAATGATATGATCCTGAGTAAGTAAATAACATAAAATAGCAAATAGGTTTTTTAAATGTATACATATAAATGCATACTTATTTACTAATATAAACTGAAATTTCACTTTCCAATATTTATAGAGCATCGGTAATGTGTAAGTCACTATCTTTGGGGGTACAGGAATGGGCAGAATTTAAAAAGACAAACAAGATAGATAATCAAGAAGGTAAAGGCATGGGATTTGTAAACCATGGAACTGGTATAAAACAACAGGAACTTAAATTTGCTCAAAGCAGAATATTTAGTCTGTTACACTCTCATTAGGGCCTGAAATAGTAAGCAAATTACTAAATTTATTCCCCTGTCAGTAGTGAGCCATTAAGAGTTATAAAGCAAGGCATTATACCATTGTCTTCAAGAAAACTAATCTAGCCAGGCACCAGTGGCTCAAGCTTAAAATCCTAGCTACTCAGGAGGCAAAAATAAGGAAGCCAGCCCCAGACAAATATTTCAAGAGACCCTATCTTGAAAATACCCTACACACAAAAGGGATGGAATGGCTCAAGGCCCTGAGTTCAAACTCCAGTACCACCACCACCAAAAAAAAAAAGACAAGAAAACTAATCTAGTAACACATGCTATCTGGGTACTGAAAATAGATATTTGGACAGTACTGAAATAGTAGGTTTAGAAACAGTGATAATGACTTGAACTAAGGCATTGGGAATGAAAAAAAAAAGTGTAATGTTTAAAGACAGATAGGGACACATGGAATTATATCAAATTAAAAAGCTTCTGTACAAGGGAAACAATTTATGGAAATCAAGAAACAACCTACAGGATGAGAGAAAAATCTTTGTCAGCTATTTATTAATAAATGGGCAATTAAACTGAACAGATTATTCTTCAAAGGACAAGTATAAATGGCCTATAAATATATGAAGAAATGTTAATTCTTACCCATAAAGAAAACGGAAATCAAAATGACATTGAGATTCCATCTTACCCCCATACAGAATGGTTATCATCAAGAATACAAACAACCAATGCTGGTGAGGATTACCGGGGGTTGGGGACCAAAACAGGGAACAACACATGGAACATTTTAATACTGTTGGAGGAAATGTAAATTAGCCTAGCCACTATGGAAATCAGTATAGCGGTTTCTCAAAAAAACTGAAAATAGAACTACCATAAGATCCTGGACATATCAGAAGGAATGTAATTCTGCATAGCGTACAGCAGAGATAGCTACACACACATTTATAGCAGCACTGTTCATAGGAGGCCAAACTATGGAATCAACTTAGGTGTACATCAACTGATGAATAAAGAAAATGTGATATATATGTATATCACATTATATCATATATAACATAAAATATATAATATACATATAACATAAAATTTAAAATTTTTTAATTGAAAAATAATGCCATCATAGGGTGCAGCCAGTGATGAAATACTGGGCAGAATGAGAGAAGGCAAAGATTATTCAGGGGCTTCAAGTCCCAATTATCACAAACAGGAAACAGGAATAAAGAGGAAAGACAATAAATTTATATTATTTGAGGGGCTCACTGAGGTGAAATGCCAACAGGTTATAAAACTGCCCATGAGGCATTTGGAAATACAAAACAAGACATCGCAGTAGGATCAAAACTGAAGCCAGAATCTGACAATAAAAAGATTATTTAATATTTTTTGTAGAACTCAAATACTGGGCACAAGAAAAGTTTTATATTGAAAGAACCAAGAGGCTTCACCACAGTTTATAGAACACAAAGCTGTTTACTTCCATGGTAAATGAATGTCGTAATAATTTAAGCTTTACTGGGCTTATGAAAGTCAAGGGGATGCAGCCGTCTGGTAACTATGGTCTAAAATGCTAAAGAACTTAACACTACAGCAGTTCTTGTGATTTCTCCCAAACAAGCCTTCCTTAAACAAGGCCCATAAGAAATCATAATGCTGAGGAATATAAAGAAAATTAGATTTTACTGAAAATTGTTCTTATGGAAGAACAGATTCAACAAAAGGTTATAGAACAGATACAAAAGAAAACTATTCAGATGACTTTTTAGGCAAATGTTCCCAAACCTTTCTTTTTGGCTTGTATTGCTAGATAATAACAAATAGCAAATGATAATGGGAACTTGCCTTAAAACAGCAATAAGAAACTCTGACTGGAATGCTATTACGGCTGATGGGCAAATACGACTTTTCTCCAATCCAGGAAGAGCATTAACAGCAAATGAGGTTCTACCATTTAAGCAAACGCATCTAAGTACTTTAAATTTAAAACAAATTATATTTCTGGCAACCTAGTCAAAAAGTAACTTCTAACAAAGTGAGAAAGTAGGAACCAAACTATATCTGCTCAAAAACAACTATTAAATAACACAATCTGATTCAGGAATCTTGACTGATAGTACATCCCAGTACTATAACCTGGTTAACGATTATTAAAATACAAAATAAAACATATGTGAGACAAAGGCAAACTCTATCCTTCCAAAGATCATGATCTCAGAATAACAGCTCAGTAAATTGGTAGTAATTAACATATTCTATATAGTTTTTAAATCGTGTAAGAGCTAATGCTTATATTAGGAAGGGGAAAAGTGACTAACACAAATATTTTTTGAGATAACCATACAGAATTTCTGCTTCTATTCTAGGAAAGATAAGTTTTCTATTTATTAATCTATTCACTTTTTATTTATTATTAATTTACTAAGTCTCATCTAACTTTCTACATGATATGCAGATGAGCATAGTAAGGCAGGCCAAATGAGGAAAGATTAAGAGCACAGATGCTATGTGACTTATTTGAAGCAATTTAGCAAGTTAGCGGCAGATCCCAGTGTTTCCTCTTCCTATCATTACCATATTCCGTAAGTCAACTATTATCATTACTACAATTTAACAGGATTGAATAAGCACTTGCAAGCAGAGGCAGAGAGCATGATGGTGATTTGAAACCACCTCCAAAGTTTCAATACAATGATTCAAAAGCAAATCAAATGGACAGCTGCTACTTGCGAATATCTGCCTAAATTTCAAAATTTATGCGACTCTTGTCTTTCTTTCTAGAAATGTCACACTGCTACATATATGAATTCTCTTCCATTGTAATACTTTTTGATCAGAACCTTACCTGATCAAAAAGGTCAGTACCATCTGATCCTGCTGCTCTCATTAATTCATCTTCTCCACCAGGATGATACTCCATATATGGGCTGACATTATAAACAAACCCTGTATCAGAGCAAGGAAAATATCTTAAATGAACTTCTTAAAAATTGTAAAATGCATAAATCAAAGTTCCAATAAATCTCTCCCAATACATTTTACTTAATGAATCATTATTTCAAAGTATCAAGAACTGTAAAGGGTCTGGAATTTCACTGAACTTGCAAACAAGTTAACCTGCAAGTTACATGGGCCCCGGCAGATAACATGAGACCCCTAGGACAGAGACAAAGAACAGTTCAGCACTCTCATCAATAACAATAGATACAATATCAATATTTCCATCAGTTCCCTGAAACCCAATTCCTCTGGAGCTATATTAAGAGGGTCCAGTAAGATTTGCAGACTCCTGTTCCTTCAAGAGAAGAACCTTGACTTTAGGAAACTCAGGTCTTTTATAAAGGGCAGTAAGTATGCCTTTTATTCTGGAGGGAGACACTATTTTTATTATATGGAACTGTAAGCAAACCTGTCCTTTGCTCTAGAGTGAGATATTCTATTATTCAAGGTTGTTCACTATGTAAACACCCTTGAAAAGATTGTCCAGAATGAAGACAGTGCCTCTGTTTACAAGATGTGCAGAAATGCAAAAGACCCATTGAGAACTGACTTCCAGCAAAAGTAAATAAGTAAATGATGAGTGTGTGTGTACATATATAATTTTGGAAGAGAGAGACTGACTGACAGTCCATTCCATCACCCTCTCCTGCCCTAGAATCGAGCTCTCCTCCATGTGTCTGATTCTCTTCAATAAAGGCTAAACAGTGATGACCATTTTGGCCTGCTTGGTGAAAGATGCCCAACTCTTCTCTGCAGCTGTCCAAAAAACAAAGATTAGATTTGTACCTCTTGATCTTCCCCAAATATTTGTTTTACCTATTCATATATCCGACTACATTTTTTTATCTTTTAAGAAATCAGGAACAACAAATAAAGCAGAATATTCAGGCTTAACAAAGAAGGATGCTGCTTTTTATGTCTTTACTTAAAAACTAAATAGTAGACAAATTCAGTCCCAAAGACACCTCAAAAGTGTGATGAGAATTGGTATTTTTATATTCAAGACTATTCCCTCTTTATATGATGACTTCCATGAATTAAAATAACCCTCAGATAATTTAAAATGTTCGTCTGATGTAATAATCTTGGAAGAAAAGAGGAGGCTGGATTTCAGACCCAAGAAAGGTACTATAGCTTTTACACCAGTTAATTTTTAGAAAAGAACCAACCAGTCTAAGGGTCTTTATAAAACTGTTTAGAGGCAAGCACAAAAGGAAGGGAATACATAGACTCACTCTTAAAGCAGTCATCAAAGAAGTCTTAAAAAAAAAAAAAAGCTAGAAGCTATCTTTTCTCTCTTCTTCCCCATCAAATTTAGAAGGAATTTTTCAATTGTTTAATGCTCCAAAATCCACAGACCACAAATGTGAGTGGTAATGATTAGGATCAAACTTATTCCCACTAGGCATTTTATGACAGAGGATGTCTATCAAACAAGTGTCAAACTTTCTCTGCAACCAAGCCTTAACAAAAATTCTAGAGTTTCTCAGGAACAAGATCTCTTCCACACATGATCATCTGTGATGGAATTTCATGTGTTTCAGCAGACAGCTTCTCAGGAAGCTTTAAAAGCTAACCATGTCAGTATATAAAGCCAGAAATACCCCAAGTGTTCTCTGCTGCCTTATACTCTTTCAGATTGATGCTTATCCTTTCATAATTTTACCCTCCTTTCTGACAGACTAGGATCACTCTGTGGACCTGAAGAATATCCCATCCTCTTCAAATGGACAAAATTAAGAATCTTCTAAAAATCCTCATGATAAGCAGTTAAAACTGTTAGTTTCAGTTCCGGAAATATTAAATCCCGCCACATTTGGCAATGTTAGCAACTTGCTAATTATAAGACTAAAACCCAGACTCAAAAAGAAACCAGTCAATTTCCTCTTATATAGAATCTCTCCCTTCTTTCTCTGTCTTATCCCTTCTTTTTTCCCTTTTCAAAAGAATTTCCTAACAATTGAAAACATCCCTCAATGTGGCAGAAGAAAACAAACACAAAACCTGGATGCTTTTCCTTCATGCTTTTTTACACTATCTTTGTTCATACATGTTTTTTATTAAACAAGTCTGTCATGCTCAAGGTTCTAGCCTCTTGTGAGTTGAGTTTTTGTGTTGTTTTGCTTTGTTTTGTTCTGTAGTACTGGGGATTGAACCCAGGCCTCCACTTGAGCTATTTTGTTTTTGAGACAGGGGCTCAATAACTTTACCCAGGATGGTCTTGAACTCGGGATCCTCCTACCTCTGTCCCCCCACTAGCTGGGATCACAGGTGTGATCACCACCACATCCAGCTATGTTGAGTTCTTTCTACTTGGTTTTTAGAAACAATTTTGTAACCTTTTATTTTTCCAATGATACAATTTTACTAACTTCTTTCTACATCTCTAATTGCTCAGGTATGGCAGATCTGAACATCTGATTGCCCTTTAGATAGAAACAAAGACTATTTGTGGATCACGGACATAATCTCAAATTGATGCTGGGCTCTTAATAAATTTTGCAGAACCTAAGTCCTAATTAATAATAACATTAGGACATAGAACAGAAATGGGCAGAAACTGATTTACGAAACACCAATCCTGATAGCACAAAACTGGACTGTGACCAAGGTCTTCTGATTACAGTCCAATTGATACTTTCCAATCATTTACATGACTGACCTTCAGTGGCAGAGGGGTGTTTAAGGAGGCCATCCATCTACATCCATCCATCCATCCATCCATTCCTTCCTTTATGCTAATACTTTATTTTGTATGTGTTTTGCTTTTTAAGTTCTAACCAGGAGTGGACACAAGGAAAGGACTGATTGTAAAGAGCAACACATTTAAAATAAAACACAACAACTGTACTAGGAAGATATTCTCTAATGTTTAAACAAATTGCTCAAAATGACCTCCAATATTCTGGTGTACATGTATAGCCAACTCATCCTAGCAGAGCCATAGCACAATGGAAAGCACATATTCAGAACAGCTAAACTGAACTTCTTTAGCCATAGTACTGGTAATACCTGTTATTAGCATCTTTCTCACTAAATTATGTCTTCTTGTGTTGTAAGTCTGGTACTCTGAGCTCTCAAAAGAAAGTTCTTAGAATAAAAATTAGCTATGTCTGGACAGAGCTGGAGATCATTGTGTTAAGTGAAATAAGACAGGCTCAGAAAGACAAATACAACATGCTTTCTCTCATATGCCAAATCTAGATTTGAAAAAAAAAAAAAAAGACATGAAAGTAGAAGGGAGAATATGTGGGAACAGTAGGGAACCAGGTGGACAAGAGAGGGTAATAGGGGTGGGTGGTGAGTATGATCAAAGTAACATTATATACATGTGTGAAAGTCATAATGAAACATGTTATTTTGTATAATATGTGCTAATTTTTAAAAAAGAAGAATAGACATTTTTAAATGATTACTTAAAACTCTGTCTTGTCAGAAACTTTTACTTCAAGTCAATCACAAAATGACAGTCCTAAGAGTAGAAGAACTCTACTGGCAATTTTCAGTCAGCTCTCTCATCCAGTACAAAATTCACCTCCTTCATGATCCAGACAGGGCATCATTCAGCCTCTGTTTGAACAGTTCCAGTGTCTGGAAGCTCACCACTTTTTAAAAGCTTATTTCAAGGATCAATATAATTTTTACTCCTGAAACTAATGTTGCCATATTATATAGACAGTATGCTTTCCATCTTGACAAACACTACCTACAGTCTTTCAAACAAACCTTTTATATTTATTTGCTTTTAATTTAAACCAACTGCCTCTGATGAATGCTGTAGGGCATTTTACAGTAAAATGTTATGTTTGTGTGTAAAAACTTTTAAACCCCACCAAGATATGCAAAAGAAAATAAATGAGATCCTGACCTAGCTAAGAGTATTATGGGAATTGAGCATTTAAGATACTCTTGAACTTCCTAAACAGTAGTCTCCTTATCTGATCTTAAAAAATTAAGATAAAACAAATGAAAAAGGAAAGACTCATTTATTCTTTCAAAGGAAGAAACTCTCTTAATATTGTAAAGAATTAGGAGTCCTTACAAAGGGACACTCCAATTTAGTAATACATAGAAACATTCTTCATGTAGCATTCCTTCATTCTCCTCAGCCCTAGGGAACCACTAACCTTTCCATTTGTATAGATTTGTATAGTCTGGACATTTCATATAAATGGAATCTTATAATATGTGGCCTTTTATGATAGCCTTCTTTCACTTAGCATGTCTTGAAGGTTCATTCATGACACTGCTTGTATCAGTTTCTTTCCATTTTATGGTTAGATAATATGCCAAACATATATTGTATTGTACTTATCTATTTATTCATCAGTGTATGGATATTTAAGTTGTTTTCAGGTATACAAGTTTTTGTGGTGAGATATACATATACACTTATGTAATTTCTCTTGGGTATATATACCTAGGAATAAATTTGGTGGGCCATATAGTATTATATGTTGGATCCTGAATGTTTCCCAATGGTCATAGGTTAAGCCTTAATACCCAGCCCATGGTTATACTACTTTCAGAAGTTGGGGCCTAGTAGAAAGAAGTTAGGTCATTAAGAGTATGCCCTTAAAGGAGATATTAGGATCCCAAGCCTTCCTATCTCTCTTTTTGCCTCCCAGCTACAAGGTGAGCAAATTCTTCTGTCACATAATCCCACCATAATATACTGTCTTCCATGGGCTGAAAAGCTATGGGTCCAACTGACCATGGACCAAAACTTTTGAAAACATGACCCTCCTTCTAAGTCATTTATTTCAGGGACTTTGTCACAGTGATAGAAAGTTGAGTAATACACGGTGTTCTAGATTTAACCATTTGGGGAACTTCCAGACTATTTTCCATTCTTAAAAGCAATATACAAAAATTCCAATTTCAGAGAGCTCTTTCTTTAGCAACTTCTCCAATTCCCCATAGAGAGGAAAAGCCTTTTACCACCT